AACTTAAAATAAATTATTCAGTTTTATTTCTGTTACCAAGGTAATTGATAAGGCATTAGTCATTCTTTTAAATACATAAAGTTTAGTGAATGGATCACTTTTCAACGAATTTATTATCAAGCTGTACAATTGTATATGTATGAAAGTTTTTTATTATGTTAGAATAGTCGTTTTGTGGGGATATATGAACAAGGAATAAACATGATAAAGTAATCGAAAGATTGTAATACTAGATTACGTAATATGAATAATAAGAACAATACAAATAATAAGTTCCTTGATTGAAACCATGAGTCAGTTGAAACTAGACCATCATGGAAAACCTGGAAGCACTGGACGGCCGTTTCGTCCTAGTATGGGACTCCTCAGCAGTACGCATCCACGAACCCGCACCCCGCGAGATTCGAACCCAGGACCTGTCGGTCTTGCGCCAGGCGCTTAAACAACTAGATCACTGAGTGGGTGTCCAACGGTGTTATTGTTTAACTTCAAGATTTTAATAAATGAAATTTCTAAGATCTTCACAAGAAACACCTTCTGATAATAAACATCTGCTCACTAGTGACTGACTTCAAGAGATATTCCTGGAGTTCTAGTGAGAAGCCGTTAAAAGTGGAGTTCAACCAGGTTTGTTGTGAGATATTAACTCACTGAAGACAATGGTGTACGGTGGCGCAACTTCGTGGATTTGTTGAAGTTAGACATTAACAATGTTGGATGCCGGCTCAGTGGTTTAGTTGGTTAGGTGCCTGGCGCGAGACTGATAGGTCCTGGGTTCGAGTCTCGCGGGGTAGTGGCTCGTAGATGCGCACTGCTGAGGAGTCCCATCCCGTGCTCCCAGTTTTTCCAGTGTGATCTAGCTTCATCTAACTCATGATTTCAATCAGTGAAATTTCTAAAGTCGCCACGAAAAACCCTTTCTGAAAATAATAAGTTGGCAACATAAAAGTTGAATTTAAACATTTTGATTATTATATCGATTAATTATTTTGAATGCACTTGTTTCATTAACTTCATGTTTGTAGTTGAACATGTGGAACACAATCATACCTTGAAAACTGTATTCTCCTCTAAGACGTAGACTTTTGGGAATGACAGTATTTTCTAAATAAAGACGACTTATGAGTTTGGTCACGTACATACAACCACTACGACGGAAGTCCTACTCACTGCCTTCTCGCCACACGGGTGCTGTTTACGAAATTGAGAGAATGGAAAGTGAATGTCCAGTGTATTACCCGGATCGGTGGATACGGAGGATCCATCTATGTGATATGGAAAACCCTGATTCCAAACCTATGCTGTACATGGCCTACAGTAGCCTAAGGAAACAAATGACATAAAAACCTATTGCTGGTCACCGGCTACTATGTGACTGCATCTCGTGACGATGCTCCACTACCTTGTGGATCACACTTTTAGTTTGAAGGCTCCGGGTATGGCCCCCTAAGAAAACCACCAGCTTCAGTTTGGGCACCCGGGCAGTATCCCAGCCCTTACAAAAATGAAATGATTTATGTGGCGTATATTTGTTTGATACCTTTTTGTACCAATGTTTATATGTGTATATAAATAAAATAAAATAAATGTATTTGAAAAGACAACAGCTAAATACAATACATTTATTGTGTTCTTGTTTTGTGAAAAAAAGATTTATAGCCTACAGATCAAATCGATGAGATTACAATTTATGAACGACCTTTGAGCGACGCCAACGTTTCTACCTACTTTATAAGGCCAAATGATAATTGTAAAGCAGTTAGAAGAATAAGGAATATGATTCACAGTTAACGGTTGGAATTTGGAATTAGGTTTACGGTTTTTCATCACGAACTGACGTCAGCTAAAATGCCAAAATACTGTTTGTCCGAATGGGTGAATGAATTTCACGCCAAAATCCAAGAACTGTTATCCTTAATCTGATTGACTCGTCCATGCTATGAATGAATTACACACAATCTCATCAAAATGAACATTTTTTTCGAATTGAAGAGTTTTTGAAGTTACAGATTGTGTGCAATAGCTAACACATTCATTCACTTTATACTTTAGATTACGAGATTACGGATGAGATCAAACAAACAATTACTCACTTGCGCCTGATACCATTCGTGGAATAGCAGAGGCCGCCCACGAGCACTCGCCATCCAACCCTGCACCAAGCAATCCTTTCCAATTCTTTCCAGTTGTTATTCATCGTTTTCATATCCACTTTTATTTTCCGACGTAATGTGTCGTTTGGCCTTCCACTTTTTCTCTTCCCTTCAGAATTCCAAGTTAGGGCTTGCCTCGTGATGCAGATACATAATGTATAACCTATTCACTTTCATCGTTTACCTTGATTTCCCCTATAGATGGAAGTTGGTTTGATCTCTCTTACAGTAATCTGATGCTGATGATATCCGGCCAATTGATGTTGAGTATCTTGCGTAGACAAATGCTTGTAAGTAGTTGTACCTTCTTGACGATGGTTGTATTAGATCTCCACGTTTCAGCTCCGTACAGTAGGACTGTCTTGATGTTCATATTGAAGATTGTGACTTTGATATTGACTGACAAACAGTTGTTTTGAGTTCCATATGTTCTTCACTTGTAGGAGTGCGTCTCTTGCTTTGCCAATCCTCGCCTTTGTATCTGCATCTGATCCTCATTGTTCATCGACGATGGTTCCCAGGTATATGAAAGATCCTACATCTTCCAGAGTTTCTACATCAAGTGTGATTGGGTTGATGTTCTCCAAGTTGTATTTGAGGACCTTGGTTTTCCCTTTGTGTATGTTGAGGCCTACTGATGCAGAGGCTATTGCAACACTAGTTGTCTTCATCTGCATTTGTTCATGTGTATGGGATAGGACGGCTAGGTCATCTGCGAAGTCAGAATCTTCTAATTAATTCCAAGCTGTCCATTGTATTCCCTGTTTTCCCTCAGATGTCCAAATCTTCATAATCCAGTCAACCACCAGAAGAAAGAGGAAGGGAAGAATAAACAGCATTGTGTGACTCCGGTCCTTACTTGGAATGCATCTGTCAGCTGTCCTCCATGCATGACTTTGCACTGTAGTCCATCGTGTGAGTTTCAACGTCAACCAGATTAAACAAATGAAACAAACAACTATTATAATGAAATGGAAGAGGATCTACAATGTTATCTGGGCCTGAAAGGGAATAAATTATTTACAAGTGCGATTACTTAGCACTTAATGGATAGTACACTATTCATCGTTTATTTATGTTCATTCGCTCTGGTGTATCTCATCGTTTAATGCTGACTTGTTAATTAAATAGGCTACTGTTATTTAGTTCTAAGACTATTCTTAGACTATATATTCTTAAAATCGCTTTTCTCACCACTACCAAACGAACAATAGACACACAAATTAATCAATGAACAATTTGCAGTTACTTCCATCTCCTGAATTAGATAGAAACTTATTTTGTCGCCAAAAAATAAATGTTCTATACTCTACAATCTATATGTTAAATGAACTATAGTTTGAAATTAAGATTAGATGGATATGACGAGAGTAAACGTTTTGATAAGACTATGATTTATGGACGTTATTTGAACGATGCTAAATTGACTTTAAGAGTGTCCACCTAATAACTAGGACCAAATGAGGGTTATAAATTAGTGTGAGGAATTAGAATTATGATTTACAGTTGATGATTAAGGTTTGGTGTTCGATTTCAGGTTTATCATCACGAACTGACATTAACTATAATTCCAAAACTCTATTTACCCGAATGGAGACCTGTTATCTCATACCTGATTGATTCGTCCATAAATTATAGTCTCGCCACATTTTTTTCAGTGGGAATGCTTGGGAAAGACATGACAGTATATCAACAATGATGATCTGGAAGTTTCATTTCAACTATCTAATGTGTAAAGGAATGAATTTTACTAATAGGGAATTCCCAAATTCATATGGATAAAACAATATCGTTGATTGCTTTTTAACTGAGTGATAGATTATCAAAAATCTTAGTTACATTAAATGTTTTACAATTTCAATTAGCTGATACACATACCTAAACCACAATGAATTGGTTGACTATTTTTCGTACATGAACAACGACTTTAATTTTTGAATATATGTACTCAATTATACAACTAGGGTGTTGTGTGCTACTGATATCGATCGATATCAGTAGTATGTATCATTAATCCAAAGTGAAATGCCTGGTGGCAGAAGTTTAAGATCAAAGAAAAGAGAACGAGACAAGGAATGATTGGTGTGGAAATGAAAGAACAATGATATCTGAGACGATTGATTGACATTTTGCAAATGAAGTATTCATTGCATGGTTCTCAGAAGTTCTATAATTCTTGTTCAAATACATTTGGTTGTCCCCGTTTTTCTTCTTGTCCACTACACTAGTAAACGTTTCCTTCGATAACTAATTATTTTACATGTTATGCCCAGTCCAGCTTAGCCGATTTATTTATATTTATTATTTTATTTGAACAGATAAATATTGGTACAAGGGGTCACCAAATATATATGCGCGCATACAATTCACTTGATTTGTGTGTGGGTTGTGATACTGCTCGGGTTCCCAGCCTGAAGTGTGTAATTTTCTTAGTGGGCCACACCCGGAGCCTTCGATCTAAAGGTGTGATCCAGAAGGCAGTGGAGTGAGGTCAGCAGATGCAATCCCATGGTAGCCGGTCACCAACGATTAGTTCACATGACATTTGTTCACTCAGGATTCTGGAGCCCATGTGCATCATTGGTTTTCCAATTCCCCTAGATGGATCCCACAAATCCGATTAAAGTGTTTTACATTCGCTTTCAATCGTCTCAATTTTGTAAACAACACTTGTGTGGCGAGAAGCCAGTCAGTAGAACTTTCCTATCAGCGGTTGTATACTCATGGCCATGTATTAAGCATTTGAAAAGAGAGAGCTGACCCCTCACACACCCTCGACCCTACCAGCGCATTCAAGGGATGCAACTAAGTATATTTGATTTGCACCCAATTAAGAAAATTTAATCGGTTTAAACAAATTTTATCATTCAACTTGCTTTTATATGTATATGTATATATTTATATATAAACATGAGAATATTAAGTAATTACATTGTATTACTTAGAATAAGTTTAATAACAATAATAGTTTTCATATGATAAACATTATCAATCTTATATAATTAGCATTAAATTGACTGTACGTAAATAAGTAGTAGTTATAAGCAACTTGGTATATTAGTAGCTTTTTGACAATTAGCTAAATCCATACATGTTATGTACATATTTTGTGAAGTATTATCATTGATAAGATGATTATGATGCTGTTGTTGTTGTTGATGATGATGATGCTGCTGCTGCTGCTGCTGATGATGATGATGATGAGGCTGCTGCTGATGTGGATGATGATGATGATTCGTATGGTTAGGATTATTTGAATGAGTTTGTTGTTTTGGTGATTGTAATCCAATATCACAATTTTCATTTGGTATAATAGATGCAGTTGCATATGGTGTTACAATAGGTGAATAAATTTGTTCATTTATACAATCATTTATTTGATCACTATTGATAGTAGTGATTAATGTTGGCGGTGTTAATATAGAACCAGATGAATCATTTAAATGTTGTTTATTTGATATTTGTTCTAAATAAATAGCTGAATCAAATGGTTCAGAACTAGTTTGTGATGGGGATGTAAAATGTAATGAATTTGTTTTAATAGGATCATGTATATCATTAGTAAAATATGGTGAATTTGAAGTAAATTGTCTAGTAACTGTTTGAAATAATTGGGGTTTAATAGAATTATTATTATTATTTAGAGGACTTCCGATCATGTTATTCCCTGTACGAAAATGATCCATTGTCTTAGATGAAGATCTCATATGTGATTCATCGGAATATTCTGTATATGGTAAACCATAACTCTTTGAACTATCATTTGAATTATTCCCTGATGATTGTCTCATGGATAAATAGGAAATTTGAGGTTGTGTTTTTATGTCAGATGTTTGTTCACCTGAACTACTACTGATAGTTATAGATTTATTGCTTATAGGATGATGATGATGATGATTTGAATAACCATTCGTTTGTATCATAGATTGATCATTGATATTATTTGTATTCGGTTTACAATGTTTATGATCTACATTAGTAGATTGTGATAATTGATATGTCAATTGTTTTTTACAAAATTTATTACGATGTAACCAACATATAAGACATAGACTGAATAGAATACACCATACTAATAAACTACTCATCATTACACTAATAAACCATGATTGATGAATTAATTTATGATCATTTATTGAATCATTTGTCAATATAGAAGATGATGATGATGATGATGATGATGATGGTGATGATAGTTTGAGATCTTCAATAGTTTTAATGATCGATAATTCATGATCGTTTTTTTGTAAATTAATTTTTTGATCAAGATCAATTTGGATCGATTCACTTTTAATCCCAATACCAATACATGTATAAGCAGCTAATTGAATATGAAATAATTTTGGTAATTTATTTAAATGAATTAATAACTTTCTATGATTTGAACTAACATTCATAGTTTGATATAAATTTAATAATTCATTATGTATATATATAATATAACCAAGTAGAATACCATTCCAATCAGTAATAGGTGGTGGTAACCAATTCACTTCAATCTTATTATTGTTATTATCTAATAACCAATTGATAATGATGTTTCTAGGTGGTGATAATGGACTAGTTTCATAAGTTAATGCTGTATGTGTAAATATATCAGTAGTTTCTAAATGATTCATTATAAATTTATTAGAAAATGCTTTAATACCTATTTCATAACAATGAAATGGTTTTAATTTATTTAATATTGTTGTTACTTTATGATGAATAGGTTGTTTGAATTCATTATTATTCATTTTATAATGTTCTTCTATTGTTATAGTTGATATAACACCAGGTAATGATATAATAGAATCTGTATTATTTTGTTCATATTCTTCTTGATAAATATGTTTCATCAATTCTAATTGATGATACATTTCATTATTATTTATAGATGTATGATAATTGATAGGATTTAAACTACAATAATGTTTCATGAAATGAACATTATGTAAATAGTTACCATGTAAACATTTCATATGTTCTACATGACGATAATATATTATATAACCATGAATTTGTGATAAGATATAAGCATATTCATATAGATTCCAACTAATATGTATTGATTTAGGAGATAATACAGTTAATTGAATATTTTTGACTTCTATTGATTTTGTAATATATTGATTTTTATGAATGATTAATGGTCCATATGGATAACTTGCCCATCCTATACGACCATTACCTAATCTAGCACGTATAATAATATAATATGGTATATTATATTGTAAACCATTTAATGTAATAATATTTATTGGCCAATTACGTTCAATAATTAACCAACCATCATATAATTTTTTAGGTGTATATATTTCAATCCAATAATTAATCGATAATATTGATTGATCATAATTATATTGATTATAATAAATCAATGGTGGTTTCCATGTTAATGTAATTGTTTGTTCTGTTTTATTAATAATATATAAATGATTTGGTGATGTTATTGGATATTCTTGTAAATAATCAATAATTGTTTTATTGATTTTATATAATAATACATTTAATAACATTGTCATTTGATAACTGATATTTTGATGATCTATTAATAGACATGTATATAAACCAGTATCATTTAATTGTAAATTATTAATTTGTAAACTACCACTTGGAAATATTTTATATCGATGATCTATTCCATCAATGATTTCTTTATTGGTTTGTTGGTGGTGTTGTTGATGTTGTTGTTGTGTGTCATTGTGTGATATCAATGATCGTTTCCATGTAATTTGCCAAGTTTCAGTACTTTGAATATCAAAGTATTCCTTCTTCTCATTATGTTGATGATGATGATCATTTGAATTTGGATATTCATTAGGAGAAATAATTTTAACTAATTTTGGTAATTCACAATCAATAAGTACAGATTCTCCAATGAATTTTGTTTGATTCGATGGGGGTAATCCAATATATGGTAATATATATTTTATTGATTTTGATACATTTTTATGCATAGGCATTTGTTTTTCAATGTTTAACATAGTAACAGTTTGATTTAAATTTGTTGTTGGCATTGGTGGTAGTGATGATGTTGTTGTTGTGATAGTGGTGGTGGTTGTTGTGGTGGTGGTGACGGTTGTTGAATTCTTTTTTTTACGTTTTATTCTTAACATAGCACTTGTTTGTACCATATCAATAGATGAATGTGCAATACAATAATATTTACCAGCATCTTTTAATGTTACTGAATTAATTTCTAATGTACCATTAGTATGAACAATATATCTATTTAATGATGATGTAGATTGTAATGAAGTATGATCTGTTGGAAAAATTGGAGTTTTATCTGGTAATTCCCAATAAATACCAGGTTTAGGATTACCATTAGCTATACATATAAATTTAGCTTTATCACCAATATTCAAGAGTAAATCAACAGGTGGTCTTAAGAATATTGGCGGTGTTTCAACAGTAAGATGTATTTCACCTATTTCACTATTCAATGTAGTACACATGTAAATATCCGAATCCGAATGTAGTACACGATGAATGATTAAATCTTCTTTTATTTGTTGAATTCTTTCAGATATAATAAGAGGTTGTTTTGATTTACGACTCCATTTGATTGATTGATTTTTATGAATTGGACAAATTAACTTGACTTGTTGACCTTGTCTTATTCGAATATGTTTTGGCGTTTTATATTTATGATTCAATGATTTGATATGTAAATAAGCTGATTGAGATAGTCTTTGTCCAATTGGATTCAATGCAATACAAGCATAATTTCCTGTATCTTTAATACTAGCTGAATGTATTCTTAAATTACCATTTGGCATAATTCTAACATTAGAAAAGTCTAAATCATGAGAATTTTGTATTTTATCTTCATTGATCATCGTTTTATTATCTTTGATCCATAAAATTTGAGGTTTTGGAAAACCTTTTGGAGGTAGACATTCAAGTGTAACATTAGTTCCTTCATCAGCTTCAGTATTAGATGGATTTAAATGAAATTCAAAATTTAAATAGACAACTGCTCCAATCACAGGTGGATCACTTATTACCCAACCAATTGAATTAGATGCATTACAGTAAACCGAATAAGATTTTCCTGGTATTGGATTAGAGATCATTAATTTACCTAAGTGTTTATTCACATGTATACTTGTTTGATAACTACTCGTTTGTAATTTATCTTCAAGTGGTTGATTTGTACTTGCATTATACCAGATAATTAAAGGTTTTGGATTAGCTTCAGCTTTACATGTAAATTCTAGTATATTCTCATTAGTAATATGATCATTTGGTGCTTCAATAATGATTGGTTTTTTTAAGGTATTAGTCTCTTTGGAATTGAAAGTATCCAATGAAAATAAATGATTAATATGTATAATAATGTAGAATGTTATTAAAATTATTCTGTACATTTGAGATAATACAAGTAATTCCATTAGATAATAAATAAAACACTGGATACTCATCACATGAACTCAATAAATATAGAATACTAATCTAAAATAAGAAAACAGGCAGTAAGTGATCAAAGAAGTATTAATGTATTTGTTATTATTAACGTGTATAAGCAAAGATGAATAATGGCTAGTAGTGGAATTTAGTTTGATGCATGTTTCATCCTATTTTGGACTCGTCAGATGAATGTATTTGTATTTCAGAGTTGATATTCACCCTGAGACTCGAACCCAGTAACGTTCGCTTCAAACGCTATCGCGTTATTCACTTAACTAATGAGTCCTTGTGAGTTAAGGCTATATCAAGGCAATACACACAGTATGCATATATGCCAATAAGAAACTGATCAATTGCAATGCTAAACATCAATCGGAAGATTCATGTGAATAATACCAAGTGAACTTTATTCTGATGTTTATACTATAACTGCCATTGATGTATACTAAAATTAGACCGTTGTGCAAAGTTTACATCCAAGAAATATGTATATGAGAACTTTTAGTGTTATTGGACCCTAAACGCAACCCTAAAACCTGAACATGTAACGCTAAGAGATGGTCAATAATGGTGAACGCGATAACATTTATTCGAGATTGAATTCATCGGATGGCATTGCTCGACCGTGCAGGTTTGGTCATTCTTATGTAATATCATTTTTTATTCAGATTAAATATATTGTTCTATCTCCAAACTAAATGTATTCTCCATGTTGCTGACTATTACGTTACGGTGAGTCAGTGTAGATAATGATGTGACCTCCACCTAAGATCTTTTAGATTAGGCAGTTACATCATGACAAATCTACAATTTTAGGATTACGTCTATTATTAGAGCAGTACTAATAACAAAGTAGACCACAATTCTACAAACGAATTATATAAAATAGTTAAATTGGGATATACAAAGTAAAATTTGAACCTACAACCTACTGGATAAAAGTCAGCCTATTTGACCATTAGGATATTAGTGAATAACAACCAATAATGTGTCTAAAAGTTGAAATAACTAAAGATTTTCCGGTGAGATTTTTATTTATGAACGACCTTTGAGCGACGTTAAAGTGACTTTGAGAGTGTCTACTTACTTACTAGAGCTAAATGAGGTTTATAAAAGTAGTTTAAAGAAGTAGGATTATGATTTAGAGTTGATGATTAGTTAAAGTTAAAAATTAGATTTGTGGTTTTCTAATGCCAAAAGTGCTATTTAGACAAATGAATGAATTTCGCGCCGAAATCCAAGACATGTTATCCTATATCCGAGTGGTTAGTTCATGGAATCATAGTCTCACCGATTTCCTTTTACCACTTAACATTAAATTATACTTCAATATGCATTCACTTGAATTAGTCGGATTACTTGATCAGTAAAATTTGGTGTTCTCATAACAATCAACAATACTAAGTGTTAAATCTTCTAAACACAACAGAAGATCAATCGTTTATTTTCAATAGAAGGCAACTGTTACTACCTACATTCAAATACAAAATTGCTTTGAGTCTTTATGTAAGATTATCAATGAAATACAGATTGCCTGACAGACAATAACCGATTGCCTACAGTTCATCTATAAAAACAAGTCTAATTTTGAAAAATAAAATGTTTATGCTTTCAGACAATTTCAGGAAATTATTTGGCGGCGGGATTTCTGGAGCTTATAGACTTTTCACATTTTAAATCATGAATTGATTTTAGCTGGACCATCATAGACATTAAGTTATTATGAGCGAGACCAAAGGTTTTGAGTCTGATTTCTGAATACAGGGTCATAGGTGTATACTGCTGAAGTATTCAATATTAAGATGAAACGGCTAGACATTGCTTCCAGGTTTTCAATGATGATCTAGCTAAAATCATTTTGTGATATAAACTATGAAAACAATAAATCTTTAATCGCAATCTCACAGATATAATGAGGTACAATGGGAATTAAGCAATTGTATATTATGGATACTCAAAAATACTATTGAAAACCTAAGAGAAAGATGAATCGTAAATAGAATTTACATTTAGAAGTTTTCAAATGGATCTCATACCGTCACTCAATAGTACGGAACTATAATACTGAATTTAAATGTTTTGCGAAATGGACAAGTCTATATCTTGAACAGACTTGAAAAATATATGGATAGAATACTTTGTTTACTGATTCAGAATAGCATCAGAAGGGGTTTTTGTGATATTATAGTAATTTGATAGTTGAGATCATGAGTCATTTGAAATTACATCACCATGGAAAACCTGGAAGCAGTGGAAGGCCGTTTCGTTCTATTGTGTGACGCCTCAGCAGTGCACATTCACAATCCCGCCCAACGGGATTTGGACCCAGAACCTATTAATCTCGCTCACAAACGCTTGATCTCTAGACAACTGGGACGGCCCGCATCCAATGGTGTTAATGCCTAACTTTAACTAATCCACGAAATGGAATGACACATCCACCATTGTATTCAGTGAGTTACTATCTCACAACAGACCAGGATGAACTCCACTGAATTCAACTATTAAAGCCATTTATAAATATATATTGAGAGGAATAAATTTCCGACTACGAGTTTTTCATAATGAGAGGATAAGGTATGACTAAATATATAAAATGTTTTGAGGTAAGAGTTAATGATATATAATCAAGAAATTGGATTGTACCTATTGTCTTTGTTAAAACGTAGGATCGTAGGTGCACAGGTCTAAGAAGTAATATACTAGAGAGAAATAGTTTTTCATTCTTTCTAGGTTTTCACCACTTGCGTTATTTATTTATTTTAACAAATATATATTGGTACAAGGAGGCACCAAATGCATATGCGCCACACAGATCTCATTTGATATGCGTGAGAGCTGTGATGCTGTCCGGGTGCCCAAACCGAAGCAGGTGGTTTTCTTAGGGGACCACACAAGGAACCTTCGACACGAAATTCTGATGCGCAAAGCAGTAAGGAAATGCAGTCCCATGGAAGCCGGTGATCAACAATTAGTTCATACGCCATTTGTTCCTTCAGGAAACTGGAGCCCATGTACAGCGTTGGTTTGGAGTCAGGGTTTTCCAACTCCCCTCTGTGGACCCCCCATGTCCATCAACCCGGTTAAAGCGCCAGACATCCGCTTTTAGTCCTCTCAATTTCGTGAACAACACCCGTGTTGCGAGAAGGTTGTGAGCAGGACTTCTCTGGCAGTGGTTGTATACGCGTGGTCATGTGAGAGCATTTCGAGAGGGAGAGCGGACTCTCCCCACTCTCAACCGTACCAGCGCATTTAAGGGCTCATTAGTTGTGTAACTAAGTTCTATAAGTGATGTCAGCTACGAATTCTCCAAGTTAACCTACATTACATAAATGTTCTCTTTTTGATACGTACGATAAAATCAAAAATGATTCATCCATTTTAACTTAACATTCACTATCTATAAAATAAGAATATAAATTTAAGCTTACTCATAGTTAAGAAGTATATTTAGTCAAGTTATGGATTCGTTCATCATGAAGAGAAGTTAAAAGAACTAAACCTTTCCCAGATAAAATGTAATTTGCCCAATTTAAGTAATTTTGATGATTGAGTAATTGGTAACAATCGATGGTAAATATTTTTTCTTAGTTTAAAATACTACCAATGAATAAAGAGAACCCAAATGAATCTCTTCTATTTACTGAATATAGAATATTTCTCATATATATTTGTTGGGAAAGCTTTGAAGAAACACAACAAAGCCTCTAGAAACCCTAAAAAGAGACGAAACGTTTCCACCCAATGAACATCTGTTAGAACTTTCTAGAATATCACAATGACATGCTACAATTAGATGATTGCATAACATACCCCCTTAAGGATTGACTGAATTATAATGATGTCATAACTAACGTCAATATCTATAAATACCCGTGATATTCTGTACAATTTTGATTCTTACCTAAATAAACACTTCTGATTCTTCTATCTTCTAATTTATGATTATAGAGTTCTAAAAGTTCAAGCACCGTTAGTAATGTATCGTATTGTGTGTTGATTAAATAGTGAATGTAACACTATTTGATATCTACCCAATGATTGATTAGTACATATTTTTGTTATCATATTCAACTAAGTTTGTTTAAATTTATCAAAAGATTGACAATTGACACATTCAAAATATTGTTTATCGCAAAATAAACACCATTAAATTGACTTGGTATTGTTTTTTTGAATCTTTCCATTAATGTTTAAGACTTCTATTGATCAGTCACTTATTGACATATGTGTATCCTGTGGCGGATTGTCTCGATACAGCCATAAGTCACAGGTAGTATATACAAAGATGGATAATGACTAGCAGTGGAATTCAGGACTTGCGTTTCATCCTATTTGGGACTCGTCAGCTGGATGTACCCACATCTCCAGACGAAATCCATCTTTGCAAACACTGTTTAAGTTAGAAAAAATCTCAATGAAATTTTAAAGAAATTAAAAGTCGTATATAATTTTTGTTTACCAAATCACTTGAATAGACTGATCAGTTGCTGTCCTAAACATCAATGGGAAGATTCAAGTAAACAATACCAGGTGAATTTAAACTTCAGCCAGTATCACAAGCAAGTGACTATCACAAATCAGTAATGTGTTGGCGTTTGAAACAAACGGTACTGGGCTGGAGTCCCAGAGTAAACATCAACTCTGAAATGTAAGTACATCTGGCTGATGAGTCCAAAAATAGGACGAAACACTCAGTAAACTAGATTTACCTACTAGCCACTATCGATCTTTGCTTAGAATCACTCCAATAATTATATGGCTAATTATCCCTTTACTAAAACCCTTTTTTACTTTAAAAAAAACAAAATAAAACAGTAAACGTTTATCCCATAAGCAAACAAAAACAACATTTTCACTGACCAAATTATCTATAATAATTATTATTGCCTTTGTTTCTCATGAAAGAAAGTGAGAATCAGACAATACGTTCACATCTGTTTCCTTTTTTTTGGATTGTTTCAATGTTTGTATCATTTTACATTTCAGTAGTATAATGAATATCTTTAAAACATGAAATCATTTATCTTTTTATGTTTCGAATC